GTAAATGTTTCATGGATGAGAAAGCAGATGAGTGAGTAGCGATTAGTGAGATGGGGCAAAAAGTCGGTTCACGAGTTGAAATGAGTAAGGAAACCCGTAACTCGTAGGAACCTGCAGAAACTCATGATTGGTAGAGGGCAAGACTGGGTTTTCAGGCTGTCGAAAATGAAAGAGAAGGCGATTTTGGATTCTGAGAGTGAGGAGGATGATAGAGGATTGGGAGAGACCAATGGTGACCAGGAGGAGGTAGTCTCGGGCAATGAGAAGGGGAGAGGAGTCATTGAATTTGTAGAGGGTGCGATGTGGCTGAGATTGAGGAGGAAGAGTCTACCTAACCCTTGGCGGTGGTTTCGGCCAAGGAAGGAGTAGAAATTACTACCTGGGGGGGTAAAGAAATGGGGTTGATGCAGAAAGGGGGGACACAAATGGAGGAGATGGGAGAGAGAATTATGGACCTCATTGAAGAAGAAAATTCTAGATGGATACTCCAAAATATCCAGTGAATTAGTAGCATATTGGGGTATTTTTTGATGGTTTAGAGGAATGGGCTATAAAGTTGTTCAGGGAGATAGAGAATATAAGAAAGGAGAAGGTGAGAGGAGAGAGGCTAAAAACAAAGGAGAAAAATAAACAGGAGGTGGAAGGATCTAGGGAGTTGAGAGAGCTGAATAACTTGATGAAAGAAGGAAAGAAGGGGGGAGGGGTAATCACAAAAGATGCTTAAATTATGTTTGGCCGTCTCATTTTCTGAAATGTTAGGGTTATAAACAGCCACAAGAAGAGATGGATGATTAGGGGGTGCATGGGTAGACGGAAACACAATGTCATTTACTTGTAGGAGTCTAAAATGGAATCCGTTTCTGTCTGGATTATTTGGAGCTTATGGAAGACAAAAAAGGTAGACTAGAGAGACTTACCAGCTGGAGGAGCATCTGGAGGGATTCTAGTTTTATGGAAGTAGAGCCTTTTAGATGTGAGGAGGTTATGATGGGAGAGCGTTCTATATTATGTCTGTCTAAAAACTGTAGAAGTGGGAAGAAATGAGTTTTCACTAGCGTCTACAGCAGAGGTGAAGGGAGAGAGAGAGAGGGACTCGATATGGAAGGATTTGGAAGATTGTAAACAGAAATGGGATTTCCCATGGGTTGTGTGAGGTGATTTTAATATGGTTTTGAACAAACATAAATGGTTTGTTGGATACTTTTCAAGGGTTTGTGCTAATGAATTTAAGGAAACTCTTGATGGACTTAATTTAATAGATTTATCTGTAATGGGAGGTAAATGGACCTGGACTGACCAGAGACTCGACCAACCCAGCATGCTCCCGAATTGGTAGGTTCTTAGTGTTAGTTTCTTGCCAACTTCAAGCTACAAAGTATTTGCCAAAATCTTTTCCAACATGTCATATCTGGTCACTTTCCTATTTGTCTAGCATCAGATGAAATCAAGTGAAGCCCTTGTCCATTCAGAATTGAGGATAAATACTTAGAAACTAATAGTTTCTGTAATAAGATTGGGAATAGTGGAGATGGTTAATGGTTGAATGGTAAAGCCAAATTTTGGAATTGCTCAAAAGATGAAGGCAGTGAAAACCACATCAAGAAGTGGTGAAAAGAGGAGGGGCC